AAAGATTAAAATAGTAAAGACTAATAGATTATTAAATCTTAATTTACAAAGCATTAGATTTGATGTACCTGTGATGAAAAGGGATCAAGTTGATAACCAAATAGATTGAATGGGCCACCTATATTGATGTTTGCATTTCCTCCCTACACATTAAAATAAAAAAAATATTAAATTTTATTAACATTCTTGTTAAAAAAAATCATAAAAGCATCATTTGCTCATTGATTTATGTTAGGCCAAACCTTTTGTGGACCATTATTTGCCTCTTCCATGTGGACATCAATGGGTGAAGATTGAGTCGGGCCACCTAAATTGATGTTTGTATTTCCTCCCTACACATTAAGACAAAAAAAAATTAATTTTATAAACGTTCTTGTTGAAAAAAAAAATAGTAAAAGCATCATTTACCCCTCGAGTCTTCTTTCTTGACCGACTTGAATTTCCTACCTTTTCTTTGCCCCTTTTTTTTTCTTGCTCTTGTCCCAATGACGTGTTATTTGAGCATTTGTAACTCCCCTTGACTTGGCCGGGGGTGGATTGCGGACACGAACATTATCTTCATCAACCAATTCATCACATGAATCATCTATGTCCAAGTCCTTCAAAAGATAAGTTATTTCTTTGTTTGCTTCTTCAAGGATTTCATTCAACCTACTTCTTGTCTCCTTGTGAGATTTGCTCAAATGCACCAAGTCATACGACCCCATTGTATGATTCACAAATGTCAATTGAGAAACACCACTAGTTCCATGAGGAGTACATGTTCTTTCAAATTCAATAAAAAGCCTTTGTTCGGCTTTTCTTGACCACCGACTCATTATATATGGCTTAGGCAACACAACGATATTCATGAAAATGAAAACTTTTAGTGTATGTCTACATAGTATTCCAATTGTTTCGAACAAATGTCATGAACACTTTACTTCAATATCATACTTTTGAAAGAACATTTGCCTAACCTTTGAGTTGTCGTTGTGAGACCGCAACTTGAATCCAAGCCAACCATTTCCAAAATCATTCTGATCAATAAGAAAGACATTCAAAGAGTGCACAAATTCCAGCTCGAACAACTTATAGATGGAGAAAGTATATACTTCAGCCGCGTGTGACAATAAGGGATTATTTTTAACAATTTGGCCCGGCCTCCCATGGCTACAATGAGCATCATCATCTTTCTCAACCGACCTCCATTTATCTTGAATTTTTTCATAGTTCAAAACAATCTGATGCAAAGTAAGGGCCTTATTGCCTAGGTCTTTCAGAACCCGATTTGTAACCTCACTTCTTGAAGTGGCTAGAAGACCTGCATAAAATTTGTCATTGCTAAACACTGTAGCCCATCGCTTTCTCAGTTTATACATCCTTTTGACCATCTATGATCACCAAGATTCTATTGATCAATCATTAGCTTCCATGTAGCCTCAAACTCATTTTCAGAATCACAATATGTCATGCATTTATGCCACAATTTTTTAAACTCCGAATCACCATTCAAACTTCCCAAATGGGATGGAGCATTTTGATTGATATGCCACTGACACAAGCGATGATGTGAATGAGTAAACACTTTATCAATAGCATTTATCATAGCTTGACATTGATCAGAAAATACAACTTGAGGTTGTTTTCCATTCATAGAATCAAGAAAAGTCGAAAACAACCTCTCAAAGGAACTCTCCGTCTCATCAGACAAAAATGCAAGGCCAAACATCACATTTTTTTATGGTGATTTATACCAACAAATGGAGCACAAATCAAATTGTTATTATTTGTTTTGTAAGTTGTATCAATTGATAGCATATCACCAAAATAATCAAAATCAATTGCACATCTATGATCTCCGAAGAAAAAGTTCATGATCCGATTACCATCATCCAATTGAACATTCCAAAAGAATTGGTTTTCCCCATTAGCCTCGTTTATAAAATGTTGAAGCGAAGAAGCAGCATCTCCATCTTCAACTTTTGTATGCCTTTTAAGACGATTAAAGTGATCATATACATCTTTTCTAGTAGAACCCAAGTTTTGTGCACCATGAGCCTCATTTTCCATAAAAGAGACAACATTAGTAACACTAATTCCCGCATTCACCATAGCTTCTAGAGTTGATTTTTTAACATGTGTGATATTACGGGCTGATCTCAACAAATGAGTTTGATCAAGCTGAATCATTTCATGATTGTGTTCCACATAAAACCTGCTCACTTTTCATTTCCCTCTTCTCTCCCTCGCAACTCTCAGTCTCGCTTTGCATTTTGTTCTAGTTATTGATTTCATATACTTCAGAATAATATTCCTAGAACGTTTTTCATCTTTAATTAACTCCTTCACAAGAACATTCAAATTCTTTCATTTGCAGTTCTTTAGTGCCCGAAAAGTATCGTTGATCACCTTTTTTAACAATAAAACCTTTGGCATGCACATATTGACAGTAGAGTAAATATGCTTCTTCAATGTTATCTATTTTCATGCCATTTGATAGTCTATTTTCTAAATGCTCCACCACTGATTCAAAAGACTGAACCTCGGGATTTGTGTTGAAAAACACCCCAAAGCTTGTTCTTGAAACTCTTCACCATTACCCTCGATGTCTTCACATTGATCCGCAAAATAATGCTCCATTAGTTCAGTAATACCTACATACAACAAATATATCAGCTCATAAACTTACACACAAAAAAATAAAAACAACAAAAAATATTAATTTTTAATCTATCATATGCTAAATTTACACACTCTGTTCAATAATTCCCACCAAAAAATAAACACATCCTAACCAAAACACATCCTAACCAAAACAAATCACCTCTTTTTCAAAGGAAAAAGAAGAAAACGGATAAAACAAATTCATGTACATTGTTTTAGACAAGTCTCACACGAGACGAAACTATCATTGAACAAACAAAATCTCATATGATGCCAAAAGTTACAAATTTTTATCTCAGTACATGTACTACTTATGTTGCCCAATAGTGTTTTGCTTTTTTCTCACAGCTAAAAGCTTCTGCAATCAGTCTAACCAGTGCATATTTATATGCTCTCACAAAAGCAAGTATGTGTTTATATGCTAAGTACCTACTCATTTTAATCATATTTGTTCAATAATATTCCCAACAAAAACAAATCACCTCTGTTTATACCCTAATACTGACCACATCCTAACCAAAAAAACAAAAAATCACTTGCTTCATGATTCCCCTAATACTACGTTATACCCTAATACTCTATCCCGTAATCGCCATTAATCACATCTGGAAAAAAAATGGCTTGCTTAAGGATTTTCCTAATACAAAAAGCAAAATGAAATTTCCCTACCTGTGGTTCGAGAAGAACTGCAACCTTAGGCGAGAAGAACCGCAACTTCCCTAAATTTTGACTACGTTTTTTTAGCGTCGATTTAGAGCGCACGTTTTTTGAAGTTTTTGGAGGTTTCAGATCTGTTTTTTTATTTGAAGTGGATCTGTCTTTTTCTCATGTGAAAACAAGTATGATTTTTTATTTGTTTAACATAACCATGGTTTGTGTTGTTTTTTGTGTTTGTGTTGTTTTTAGTGTTCTTGAGTATTACCCCATTGGGGTCGGTTCTAGGCGGTCTTTGACCTGCCCTCCCACTTTTTCAGCTATGGGCTGCTTGTATTAAGTTGTTGGCTGTCTGTAATCAGCTGATGGCTGCTCTTTGCACATTTGTGCGTTTTATATGATATCTCTATCGTTCCGTGAAAAAAGAAACCATGGTTTGATAATAAATAAAAAAAAAAGCTAATAAACCCTCACGTGCCTGCGAAAAGGAAAATGGACTGAAAAGAAAAAGATAATCATGATACCTTGGCGAATAGTAAAAACGGGCATTACCCTTACGGGTAGCGTCGAATAAACCGTCTTGGCCATCGTGTTATTACCCTTTATAATCTTATTTTGTGTCTGTTTTTGTGTTTTATAACAGTCATTGACACTCCTACCCACATATATGAAGTAGGTACAAATGCACTCAATCAAATTTTCTCCGAAACCATAGAAACATTTTGCATTCCACCGAAAAAGGAATATACAAATACACAAGTGACAACTAGTCAACTGGAGCCAGAAAAAGGGAAAGACATTCAAGAGTGGTCTAAAACATAAGGATTACCCCCTAATAATCATCATAAAGGCAGTCAAACGACCACTCAGGCCTTTATGATACTGCCCCCTATTTTTAATAAGTATCGTTTTGAGAAGTTGTGCAGTAATTAAGATTTTTTTTTTTGCAAATAATAACCCTCATTAATGAGAATAAAGATGGATGTTTTGAGAAAATATGAAGAGTGAATATGAAAAGACATAGTGTATTTATTAGCTAGATGATAGTAATAATAGAAAGATATGTACAAACGATATAAAACGTCATTTATTTAGTTAATTGTTAATAAAACCAAAATAACATTTAAAAAAAAAAATGAGGTAGTACTTATCAGAGGCTACAAAAATAGCAAACAAAATACAAACGAACTAGCCACTAAACCTTAAAGGACCTAGTTAGGAACCAAAACCAAAACAACATTAGGTAGATAACAATTCTTTCCATTCTTCTAGTGCAGCCTTTACAATAGCTTTTTCTGGTTTCCATAGATTTTGAAAACCCATAGATTCCAAGTCTAAGGTTTTAAAGGCTTTGTTTTATTATCCGAGAAAAACTATGTGCAACAGTCAGGTTCACAGTAATGTCAACCGTGATTCATACATAATTACTAGAAATTATGAATAATATTTCGTCTCAAGTTGATAAAAAGTATATATGCTTTGCAGGCCGTGCACCTAACAGAAAATTGAAATTTCCAAACCTCATTCACATACAACACTTATGATTCTCCCAACCAAAAAATGAACAAGGACCACATTTTTTTTTTCTTTTTCACCCGACAACAACACTTGGATACAGATCATGAGTACGAGTGTGTTAAGCTGATCGATTAACGACACATGAGATAGAGATGATGCATCAATGCAAATTTTCATTTAAATTATCTGGGCAAAGAACTTGGAGGGAAATTGCGCAACGGATTCTCCCTCAGCAGCTCCGTTTCTCTGAAAATGGAGAAAGCAAATAAGACCCCAAATTTAGCATTTCAAACACTAAGAGTCGGTAATGCGAACAATTATCCAAAACAAAGACTGCTTCTTACTTCTTAATATCTCTACAATCCCCAGGCCTGAGCTGCAGAGTCGAAGACTGGTCCTTCTCGTTTGCTCGTTTATGTTGTCTGTTAGGTACAATCAACATGTTCATCAGCAATTGCATGCAAAACAATTCTCTCTGTGTGTATCCAATAATGATATAATATTTACTTTGTTCAGAAATCTACTGTTGCATAGAATAAGAACGAGAAAGGAAATTGTTTTTAGATGGACGAGCAATATTGAAAGATTTTATATAAGCTTATTTGGTAATTAAGTACTCTTTGTCCAGCTGAGAAAAAAAAATGAATAAAAAAAGAAAGAAAAAGAAAAACATACTCTGAGGCTTCTTCATCCACAAAGATCTCAATGCAGGGGCCTGGAGGTGGTCTCCTTATGCTTTGACCAGGTCTCTTAGGAATCTGAAGAAAGAATTCACTCGAGCGTAAGAAACTACACCACATCATTATGAATGAAATAGATTATATACAAGGCTTAATAGTTTACCTTAGTTGATGTCCACTTGGAAGGGATTTCATTATTCTCTTTATTTCTTTCTGCTCGGGCACCGAGTGAGTGCCATGGTTTTAGTTCAGCCTTGGAGATATCAAGGTGTTCATGACTCGCTAGTGAACTGCTGCCTTTATCTTTAAAAATGGACAATGCAGTTCCAGGAGTCCTAAGAAAAAAAAAACTAAAAAAATGTTACACGTCTTATATAATAGTAAATCATGTAAAACATTGTTTGCGAGCTCACACGTCATAGATGAAAACCGTAAAACTAGCATTGTTTTGCTTAAAGAAATACTTCAACTGATCAATATAATATATTAGCAGACTAGCTAGCATTTTCTAAATAACGCAAAGCATATTTAAACTACCTATGTAAGTGACCAACAATATCTTCTTTTCACAAAATGGAACAGAGGACAATGCACTCTCCTACCAAGTGCAACCCTTTACTAGTCACTATTATGGACAACTAAATGGAAATTAAAAAAAAAAAAAAAACGATCAACCTATCTTTAATGGTCACAAATCAGATGTGTGCAAGTAATCTATAACCATTAACAGTAAACATTATGTCAGTGAGTTAAAAGAATCTTAAGCATCATGTATAGTTGCGACTATATTTGAATGTAATTTCCAGAAATGAACAAAAGCAGACATGCGTCCACCCATTCCTATTTGCGAATAATCATTACAAATGGAAGTTTAATGTTGAGCAAAGCTAGTAGTGCCAAAGACCTATAAACATAGAAAACATATTCTAACCTGTCTGGCTTGAGCTTTTTCCTAAAAATATCAGAACATTCTGAAGCTTTGTTCCCACCTATTATAAAAAAATTAGCCTCCAAAAACTCAGTAAGTCATCATATAAAACCTTTACAAGTTATGAAGTGAATGAGTCGATGAGAGCAGCTCACTTATTTGCCTAGTCAACACAGTCCCAAAGCTTCGAGCTGGTAAGTGGTTTTCTGTCCCATCTTCCTATTGGTGGGCAACAATAGGACACAATGTATCATGTGAGCTGAAAAATAACTAAAATGAAGAAAAAGGAAAGCCATCCAGAATGGAAACAATTTGCTTACATCTGTAGCTTTCAGTTGTCCCATTGAACGTGTGAGAAATTTCTTGTATGCTATTGTTAGCTTTTCAACTGGTTGAGCTTTCCTAGCATCCATAAAACAAAAGACCAGTGTTGCAAGTGTAATAGATGAATTTCAGAATAATTGGCTGAGCTGTTCTTTGAAATAATAGGAGTTGATGAATTGCTCAGGGAAATATCTACGGGAACAATTAATTCATCCTCCGAGCATTTCCTCAAAAATTGAATTTCAGGCTACTGATATCTGACTTCCTTCCTTCATTAAACTACTACACGAAATGAATTTTACTCCTTCATTAATATGCAGAATGCAAATTATTATATCTCACTTCCTTCCTTCATTAAACTACAACACGAAATGAAATTTGCAAACAATGCAAGTTTCTTCCTTCATTAATCTGACTCAATTACATTATACCAAATAAAGAGGTAAACCACATGAAAATTATTTTACTCCTGAAGTAAAAATTTGTTTTATAGTATTTTATTAACAAAATATGCAGAAGACACCATCTCCTTGTTTATAGGACATCAAATCAAACAACGCTAAAGTTATTAACATAAACATTTTCTTGAATACAACAACGTGTTCATTAATTTATTGAGATGAAAAAAACTTATTCATTATGCATATACATGTCTTAATCAAATTCACTGTATGTAGGAAAAAAAAAGAAGAATTTTTTTAACTAGGACATTATATATGCAAGACTAGTCCTTAGTCATCGAGTGGGCTGAAATTTAGGTTCATCTCTCTAGAGCTACTCTCTATTTATCAAAGGTAATCTACAAAACCATGTGACGCCTGGGTATATGATCAGAAATGAGACGCGTATTTGGGAAAGAGAACACAGAGAGATCTTATATATTGTAGCATAGAAACTTTTTAATAAACTACCGAGTACATGCACACAAATAATGTCTAAGAAAAAAGAACTAAGACTTACAAAGATAGCCCACGGTTGAAGATGTCATTTGCAGTTCTATTTTTGCTCTTGTGCTCCATATGGGATGCATAGGAAATGTCAAATGATGCATGTGTTACTCTAATTTTGTTTGCCTCCAAAAAGTTATAAATGACTTCTGCATCAACACAATTTTCAGCCTGCTTTACCATTTCACATAAGCAACCATAAATAACATTCGTTACAATTGACTTGAGCAGAACAGGAGAAAACAAAGAATTGAAGAAGATACTTACGTATTCCAGCCATACTTTCAGGAATCAATTCACGTGAAGATAATTACAACAAAATTATTAAGATAATTTACAATTTGTTAGGAATCAATTCACGTGAAGATTCCTTTTGCATGTTGGCTACATGATTCTTAACAATGAAGTGGTATTAATTTTACACTCACAAATTTATAACAATCCCCCACATGAGTGTAAATTAAATATACATATACTAGCGTGCTCAATCCTCACAAAACTCTATTGCATCAGAAAATGTAGCTTTTGGCTTTGAACCTTTCTTTGTAAACATCATCGGATGCACTGGCGGACTAGTAGACATAATGTCTTGAACTATTCCTCCATATTGTACACCGAGACAATGACATTCACACAATAGAGCCTTAACTCCATTACGTTCTATCGTTGTGTCCGTTTTGGCCATGGACAACACAATGAATTCATAAGTGTTTACATTTGAAGCGGCCCACACTTCACACTTATATAGGTGACCTCCCTATCAAGAGTATCATGTATTACTCCACCTTTACAAGTTTAGGAATTCATTAAAAGTCCACATGACTTACCCTCACCACAATCAACATGTCATATTACACTTGGAGTGCTCTAGGGAATAGCTTTGGATATTCATATGTTCCAAGTGCTCAACTGAATTTTCATAGCTTAGTTTTCCCTTTGAACCAAGTTCGTGGGATCTCCACTCAGCATGGTTGGGTTACCACTACGATCATTCTTTACATTGTGGATTTTTAAGCCCATTCCTTCTAGCAAAACTACCAATTGATCTCTATTCAATCCTTTCGTCAAAGGATCAGCCAAATTTTCCTTAGACTTCACATAGTCAATGGAAATAACACCATTTGTGATCAATTGGTGTACGGTATTATGTCTACGACGAATATGTCTAGACTTACCGTTATACAAGTTGCTTTGCGCCCTACCTATAGCAGCTTGGCTATCACAGTGAATCATCACAGGCGGCAAAGTCTTATCCCAACATGTAATATCAGATAAAAAATTTCTAAGCCACTCGGCTTCTTCACCAGCTTTATCTAAAGCGATGAACTCCGATTCCATCGTTGACCGAGCTATACACGTTTGTTTTGTGGATTTCCACGAAACTGCACCTCCTCCAATGCAGAAAACAAATCCGCTAGTGGAGTGAGAATCCCTCGATTCTGATAACCAGGTTGCATCACAGTACCCTTCAAGTACAACTGGATATCTCGAGTATTTTAACCCGTATTCAAGGGTGTACCTCGAGTACTTAAGTACCCTTCTCAAAGCATTCCAGTGTTCATGACTGGGATTGCTTGTAAATATGCTCAACTTACTCACCGTATAGGCCAAGTCTGGTCGTGTACAATTCGTCAAGTACATCAGACTCCCTATTATCCGTGAATAGTCCAACTGAGCCACTGGTTGACCTTTATTGGCTACCAGATTTATACTAAGATCAAGGGGTGTCTTACACATACGCCTAGACTGTGCACCGTCATAGGCATCAAATTTCTTGAGCACTTTCTCTACATAATGAGATTGTGACAAGACAATTCCATCATGGGTTCTGAAAATCCTTATTCCAAGAATAACATCAGCCAAACCCATATCTTTCATGTCGAAATTTCTTTTCAACATTCCTTTCGTATCCATGATCACTTCATGGCTACTCCCCATGATCAACATATCGTCTACATATAGATATACAATCACAAATGTATTTGATGTACTCTTGACATAAACACATTTGTCACATTCGTTGATTTTGAAACCATTTGACAACATAACGTTATCAAATTTCAAATGCCATTGTTTCGGAGCTTGTTTCAGTCCGTACAAGGATTTGATCAATCTACACACCTTTCTCTCTTGTCCAGGTGCAACAAACCCTTCAGGTTGTTCCATGTATATTTCTTCTTCCAATTCACCATTCAAAAATGCCGTCTTGACATCCATTTGGTGAATCTCAAGATTGTGCAACGCAGCAATCGAGAGAAGCACTCTTATCGACGCTAAACGCGTAACTGGTGAATAGGTATCAAAGAAATCAAACCCTTCTTTTTGTTTAAAGCCTTTTACCACCAGTCATGCTTTAAACTTATCAATCGATCCATCAGCTTTATATTTCTTCTTTAAGATCCACTTGCATCCTAAAGGTTTACAACCACCAGGGAGATCAACCAACTCCCAAGTATAGTTCTGCATAATGGACTCGATTTCGCTATTTACAGCTTCTTCCCAAAGTGGTCCATCTGGGCTGGACAGAGCTTCCTTAATGGAACTCGGTTCATCGTCCAACATATACGTAATAAAATCAGGTCCAAACGTTTTAGTTGTTTTTACCCTTTTACTACGTCTCGGTTCTTCATCAGTACCCTCTGGTACAGAACCAATAGCAGTTTCATATGTTCGTTTATTAGAACTAGATTCTGCCCTTTCCTTCAGAGGAAATATATTCTCAAAGAATATAACATTTCTCGATTCAATCGTGGTACCAACAGATACCTCTGGATTTTTTGATTTATGAACCAGAAATCTATATGCTGTACTATTGTACGCATATCCAATAAATACACAATCGACCGTCTTTGGTCCGACTCTCATTTGTTTTGGTTCAGGTACTGAAACCTTAGCCAAACACCCCCACACTTTTAGGTATTCATAAGACGGCTTACGATTTTTCCACATTTCGTAAGGAGTCTCATTTTTTCCTTTAGGTGGTATTTTATTCAGGATATGATTTGCTGTTAAAACAGCTTCCCCCTACATGTTCTGTGCTAATCCTGAATTTATCAACATGGCATTCATCATTTCTTTTAAAGTACGGTTCTTGCGTTCAGCAACACCGTTCGACTGTGGAGAATAAGGGGTCGTCGTTTGATGAATTATGCCATATTCAGAACATATTTGTTCAAAAGGAGTTACATACTCCCCACCTCTATCACTTCGGATTATTTTAATCCTTTTACCGAGTTGATATATATTTTTCAGTTCTTACAAATAATCTAAAAAATAGAAAATTACAATCGAACTGAAAAATAAATTACAACTGAAAAATAAATTAAAACTTAAAACGGAAAGATTTTAGCCGAGGCGAGTAAAACTCTTTCCGCAAGAAGAATACGCCCCGTGTGGCAGCTAACGGTTCAGGCGTAACTTCCCCAAAGATACAACTGCAAACGTCTCTAAATCTGTAGCACACCAGATTTACGAGCTCCAGCAAACTAGAACGGAGTCGAGAATTGAGCTTAAAAATAGGAATAAAAATATCACTCTTTTGTTATTTTGATAACAAATAAATATTTTTCTATCCTTTCTTTCTCTCTATCTTTCTCTTCTTTTCTTCTGTGTGATTTTCTCCTCTGCCAAGTAGCCTATTTATAGGGAGAGAATTGCAGTTAATGCCTTGAGATGGAGATCAGTTAATGCCTGATCATGTTCAATAATTACAACAAAATTATTAAGATAATTTACAATTTGTTAGGAATCAATTCACGTGAAGATTCTTTTTGCATGTTGGCCACATGATTCTTAACAATGAAGTGGTATTAGTTTTACACTCACAAATTTATAACATGTATGACATAATTAAGCAACACGGACAAACGATTACTCACTCAATCCATGGCTGAAGCGGGTCTTCGCCTGTATACTCATTGATTGCCTCTATTAATCTCCTGATTATTAAAACAAAATATAATAAAAAAATTCAATAATCAACCCTCAGAAAATTGAACATAAATCGAAGCAATTACTGTGAAAACAAAAGGACATATAGAAACTAGGTTCCGAAAAAATCACCTTCGATGTTGAAGAAGCGAGTTCCTGAGTTGATAATCGGAGTGGGATTTCAGGGCGCCATTGAGGAGGCCGACTTTGCGGCTGCGCTTCAAGGGACGAACGTTTTCTTTGAAGAGCTCCCATTCGTTGCCGGTCTCTTTCTTGGCCACTAGAAACTCCGTCTCGGGTCCAGAAACGTCTCGATCGACGGCCCATCCATTGCTTTCCCTGCGATTCTTCTTCCCTCTGACTCTGGTCTCTCTCTCTCTCTCTCTCTCTCTCTCTCTCTCTCCTCTCTCTTTCTCTCTCTCTGCTTCGAATTTGAACTTTGAATATTTGAAAGATGACCTATTTATTTGGATTCTTATAGCCGTTGGGAGAAAGAAACCAACTGGGCCTGCGACTTACACGGGCCGGTCCGGGCCGGGATTACACGAAGTGTTTATCGCCTGCAATTTTGCGGGATTCATTTTAATTTTGTTGTTATTTATTGTTATCTATATATATATAATAAGAATTAACATTTACCAAAAATAGTAGCAAAAAATAGGTCAGAATTTAATGCAACATATAAATAGTAAGTTTTAATATTTTTCTTATTTTTTTCTTTAAAAATCATACAACATTAAATGCTACCTTAAATTTTGGGATTTAGTTCATTTTTTTATTTAAAAAATCCAGCGAAGATTAATTAAGCGTGTAAGTTTTTATTTTTATTTTTTTCTTAGAAACAACGAACAACATTAAAATCTCAGTCTTTATATTTATAGAATCTCAATTCAAAACAAAAGTTTTAAAATCTCGGTCTTTATATTTGTGCCTTAAAAAAATATTGAACGCTGAAAATATTCTTTAAATTGCATAATCAATCAATTAATCTTAATTTTTTGAAAATTACTATGTTTATTTTTTATTAATATGCATAAAGTAAAAATAATTAATTCATCTGTAGATATATAATTTATAATCTTTATATACTATCATTTGGTGTAAACATTTATTATATGAATCATAAAATATTTTATTTCATAAAATTAAATATATTTAAAGAAAATAAGAAAATTTCTTCGGATCAATCGGATGATTGAACTTGGGTACTGCCCAGGTTGATTGAATTACTTTTAGGTGATATTTAAAATAGTCAAAAAACTTGACACAACTTGGTTGGTCTCAGGTGACTGAGTTATGTATCTGTTCGACCACACCAAATCGATTTTTTTTTTCCCAAAACGACAGAAGAAACTATATTAACTCAAGAGCGAACAGAGTTCGAATACGATGACAACAACCAATCGGAATAAAAAAGTGAGAGACACGCAACAAGCGGTCTAGAACCTCAACCAAGAGCTACCAAGACTAGAAAAAAATAAAAATACAAAGAGATAAATTCCCACCACTGCTACAAAGCCTAGCAAGGAAATTATCTCCTACAAGCCACAACCAAAACCAACAGGAAACAGAAACAGAAAATCAACCAAACAAAGAGAAACAATCCAAAACTAACACACAAATGATCAACTAACAGCAGCAGCAGAAAAGTCCAACCACTCGGCCTGAGCAATCTTGAAGAGTTTGTGCTCTGGAATTAAGGTTTTTTGGAAAATCCACAAGTTCCTCGATTTCCAGAGCCACCAAAGCATATATGTCGTGAGTTGGATTCGAGCTTCGGCTACCTCTGATTTGTCTAGAGAACACATCTTATACCACCAAGCCTTGAAAGAATCAGTGCAGTCAATCAAACCATCCCAGCACAAACGACTCAACTTCCAAACTGTAGATGCTCTGCTACATGTGAAAAAAAATGTGCTCTACAGTCTCAGCTGACCTTCCACAGATAGAACAGGTTGTGTCAATCTCCACCCCTCTTTTCCTTAAATGAACAGCAACTGGGAGTGTGCCTGTCAAGCATTTCCACAGAAAATGCTTGATTTTCCTTGCAGTTCTCATTTTCCATAATCTGTATTTTATGGTCTTTTGGATTGTGTTGCTTGAACTACACTCAGGGATATCAGATTTCAGCACCTTTAAATTGCAGAGATGTTTGTAAGTACCTGAGACTGAGAATTGGCCTTTTTTGTCCAAGCCCCAAAGCAGTCTGTCCTGTCTGTGTGGATGGAGAGTTGAAATGTTAAGGATGGCTCTGCTGTCTGTCTCATTAAACACTTGATTAACCAACCATTCATTCCACTAACTTCCATTTCCATGTAAAAGCTCACTGACCCATATGAGATGATCCCTGGCTATTGGAATCAGAGTAGGAGTTGGTTTGTCAAGATTTGGAACCCAATTGAGATCAGCAATTCTAGTGTTAACTCCACTTCTAATTTATATTCTGAACCATTTAGCAAAGAAAGGCATTAAGTCCATCCAATAGTTCCACATCCATGATCCACCTTGAAATTTTGAGGCATGCACAATGGAGGATTGTGGAAAATACCTGTCTTTTAGAAGCTTGCTAACAAGAAGATCTGGATTTGTAGCAATCCTCCACAACTGTTTACAAATGAGAGCTTTGTTGAACAACTGTAAATCATGAAATCCCAGTCCACCGTTGTCAAAAGGGAGGGAAAGGAAGCTCCATTTTTTCCAGTGAATGCCTTTAACCTGCTCCGTTCCTGATTGCCACCAAAATTGTGCACAAAGTTTGGAAATCTCAACACATAAGGAGACTGGTAAAGTGAAGCATGACATAGTAAAGACAGGTAGAGCTTGTATAACTGCTTTAATAAGAACCTCTTTCCCAGCTGTGCTTAGTAATTTTGATTTCCAACTGGTCAATTTATTCCTCACAGATGTCAGTAAGTAATCAAAGACTTCCCTCTTGGATCTACCAATCCCCAGAGGTAAACCAAGATATCTAGTGGACCTATGAGCAACAATACCATTGAGGGTTCTACAAATGTTATTCTGAAGCTGCTGAGGAGTGTTCTTACTAAAAAATATAGCAGATTTTTGGAGATTAACAGCTTGCCCAGAGAATAGTCTGTATTGTTCCAGGATATGCATAATGATTCCAACTTGATCAGAACCAGCTCTGCAGAAAAAAAGTGCATCGTCTGCAAATAAAAGATGAGAGAGCAGAGGGCCATTTCTAGACAGCCTTATTCCTTTAAGCCTACCATTAGCAATTGAATTTAGAATAATGGCTGAAAGAAGCTCAGCTACAATGATGAACAGGTAGGGGGATAATGGATCCCCCTGCCTTAACCTTCTAGATGGAGTGACAAAACCACTGATAGAGCCATTCACTTTAAAGGAGAAAGAGGCAATGGATATGCAGAACATTATGAGCTTAACAAAATCAGTGTGGAACCCCATTTGGATCATAATTTTCTTCAGACAGAGCCATTCAACACGATCAAAGGCTTTGATAAGGTCAAGTTTCAATGCCATGAAAAAATTTGGACCATTAGAGTGTCTGTTTAAGAAGTGAAAGGCTTCCTGAGCTATTATCACATTGTCAGTCAATTGCCTTCCCTCAATGAATGCAGCTTGATAGTCACTAACAAGAGGTTAGGCAGCCTTTAAGTCTCTGAGCCAGAATTTTGGATATAATTTTATAAACAACACTACAGAGACTTATGGGCCTAAAATGAGTCAAAGAATCTGGGCTGTCACATTTTGGAATTAAAGATACCACTGTATGGTTCTAATATTTGAGCATCATACCTGATTGGAAGAAACTGGTAACTGCATTCATCAAATCAGACTTAATGAGAGGCCAAAAATGTTGGTAGAATCTGGCAGTCATGCCATCCTCTCCCGGGGATTTGTCAGGTTGCAGGCTAAACAAGGCTCCCTTAACTTCTTCTTCTTCCACTTGCTTCAAGAGATTCTGATTCATGTCATCAGTGATACAAGGAGGAATTAGGTTAAGTAAGGTTTCCCCACCCCAACAACCTTCAGAGGAAAATAATGACCCATAGAAATCAGCAATATGCTTTTCAATGTCTTCCTGAGTTGAATGCACTCTTCCTTGTGCTGAGATTAGTCTTGTTATAGCATTGAGTTTTCTCCTCTGAAGTGTAAATGCATGGAAGAACTGAGTATTTGCATCCCCCTCTCTCAGCCATTTATGTTTTGCTTTTTGCTGCCAGTATAGTTCTTCTTGTTGATGAGCCTTATTCAGATCCCTTTTAGTATTGATCCATTCATCCCAGTGTGGCCCTTCATTGTCAGCATTTAGAACTTCCATCCTTTCAGTAAGCTCAGCCATGTGCTTCTGATTCTGAGATTGAAATTTCGAACTCCAGATAAGCAATGCTTTCCTTGTGTTTTTAACTTTCTCTTTGATCTGGAAGAATTGAGTACCATTTATTGGAGTAAGCCAAGCATTCTTAACCACTTCTTCAAACCCTTCTTTGTTTATCCACCGTTTATCAAAATGAAAGGAAGATTTCCTTTTCTCTCTTGGCAGTCCTATATTTAACAAAAGAGCTGAGTGATCAGATGAACTCCTGAGCACATTGTGCACCACTGCAGTAGGATAAAGTTGATGCCAATCAGGTGAGCCAAATGCCCTGTCCAATTTTTCCTCCACTAAATCAGGAACAACCCTATTGTTGCACCAGGTATAATTATACCCTTCAAACCTGACTTCTGACAGTTCCATTGCATTGACAAAATTGTGGAATCCTTGAAAACTATTCACATTCCTGGATATTCCTCCTGATTTATCATTTTGAGACAAAAGATCGTTCCAATCCCCAATTGAGAACCAAGGGTGACCCCAGAGTGGTCTGTCGATGATCATGTCTGCCCATTGAGCTTCCCTAGTTACTCTGCGGGGACTAAAATATACAAAGACTCCCCAAATAGGATTAGATGAGGACAATTGAAAATTTACAGCGATATAGTAATCCTTACATACAATTTGATGAACAATAACATTTGGATCCCAACACAAAACTAAGCCTCCACTAAGACCAACAGGATCAACAACTGCTATTCTATTATCATACCCCAATTTTTTACAAACTGACTTTACAAAAGCATTCTGTTTTTTTGTTTCAGATAGAAAAAGAAAATTTGGGTAGTGAGTTCTTAATAACTCTCTGATTTGGGAAATTGTAGAGGGCCCACCCAGCCCTCTACAATTCCACACCATAGCTAACATTGGTCATGGTGGTGCCATTCCAGGCTGGCAACCCCCACCCTTTTGGACTGAGTTTTGAGTTTTTTTGATAGAACCTGATTTGTGTCTGCTGCTTCCTTAGATGATTCCTCTGTCTCATTAGCAACTCTGACTCTCTTTCCCCTTATGAGTTGGTCAATGATGAGGGGATCTTCAGAGGCTCTCTGCAATCTGCCTGATTTGTTGCCCACTCTTTTCCATGTCTTGATAGTTTGAGTTTGGCTGTCTGTGTGAATTACTGGTAGCAGGTCTGAATGATGAGGAGTGAAATCATTCTCTATCTCCATCAATGTAGAGTCTATTATCTGAAGCTTGTTAACCACCACTTCCTCTCCTGATATTTGTGCCTTGTTAGCTGAGACATTAGATGTTGCTGCCATTGATTTTGCTGGAGAAGGAGGGTCCTCATGACTTGGAATTAGTTGATGTTTATTGTCAGGATGACTTGATGAGGTTCCCTGAGCCGTGGTGTTCTCAGCCATTGAAGGAGATGCCCTTTGGGGAGATGATCTTGTTTCAGAGACATTACTAGGTGTCCATCTTTGTCCATCCATTGCCTTCAGCCAGTCCCCATATTGCCCTACTTTCATAGAATTGTTAGCTACATCCTCCATCTTCTTGGTACACGGTCTAAGTGTCCTATCTTACCACAGTAATGGCAGAGGTTCATTAGCTTTTCATATTTAAACCTTACGTTGACAATCTGATCACCCAATCGGATGTTGAGAAGTCTAGGGATTGGCTCCTCAAGGTTCAGAGTAACTAATAATCGCAGCAGCTTGCCTCCGTGGTTACCAAGAGAGGCTATAGTAACATTCTTCAGACTTTTAAAGGCTTTACCTATCTTGAAACCCACTTCTGAGCTTAACCAATTGAGAGGAATATCGTGTACTTGAACCCACATGTTTAGTTCCTGAAAGCTTGGGTGATTACTAGAGATTCCATTTGTCTATTCTTATAGGATGAGATATTGATTATCCAGACTCCAGTTTGTTCCAGCCGCAACTTTCTTCATATCTTCTTTGTTTTGGAAAATGAATTGAAAATAGTTTGGACCGAGCTCTTTTACCTCCATAGGTTGACTGAGCTTCCAAATTTGTGACATTGCACGCCTGATTCCAATCCAGCTTGCTGGCCTATCTCCGACAACTTTACCAAAAAGGCTTCTCTGGCATTCGTCATCACTGTTACGGATGTCATCTTGAGCAATGTCTACAATTTTAGCCTCCCTATCTGATAGAGAGAAATCTTTCAAAAGAGCAGAAAGATCTTCGTCTTGTTTGTTCTGCAAAGGTTCCGCCATTGAAAGAACCCTAGCTGATAAATAAGCCAAGAGACTGAGGAACGGATGAAGGATGTCAACAGAAAAGGTTATGATGAATCAAAAACCAGGTGGGCAAAAGGAAAAACAAAGATTCACTGAGCAAGATTGATCGAAGTTCGCCGGAAAAATATCGCTCTCATAGAGAGAATGTATCGCTCTCATAGAGAGAATTCTCATTGGCTCTATCTTTAAAAGGAAAAATATAGGACACACCAAATCGATTATTGAACCTAAAAAATATATTTTATATTAAAAATATTTTATTACGTGAATGTGATGTAGTCCAAACTTCAAATAATCGTATTAACAATTATTTTAGTACAACATGTTTAATGATTTATGAATATTTATATATCATTTTATTAATATTAATGTGAATTAAATAATATTTTATTATAATATTTATCAATATACAGTAGTATAAGGTTTTCAAAATTGGACCGTCAACGAAACGATCAAATTATTTTATTAAATCATTTGTTGTTTGTTCAGATTTTAATTTATAAACATTTTAATACATATATATATATATATAGCATTTTTTGTAATAAATTTAAATAAAATGTGTTACTTAGATATCTAAACAATTTATAAATTCAAATGTTTAAACTAATTGATAAATAATTTATAAATCTCTATTTTATTTAAATATGTAATTTTATTTAAAATAATTTTAAATATAACAAAATTTATTTAGAAAATCGTATCGATCCTACCAGTCCAACCGGCTGGTGTTGACGAATTCGAGAGCAAATATTTTATTCAAGCGAACTAGACTGGTTATAAACCGATTCTCGGTCCATCCAGTCGGACTGTGTCCAACCCGGTTTAATTTAAAAATAATGGATAAATCATAATTAATATTATTTATATATTTAATTTATAATATAATCGTAATATAGTTTTCCCGTGCATCGCACGGGCCACGCACTAGTTATTATTGAACAAAAGTGTAATTTTACTGTTCAAACTTGGTCGACGAATTTGCTTGTTGTGGTAATCCATGAATGAGATTGAGGGAGGTTTATGGTTAGAGATGCTATATATCAGTAGAATGCGTATCTTATCACTATCAAATTAGAGCACATTTGGTTTTTAAGATGAAATTGGACTAATTTTATGTGTTGAGGCCGGATTAGACTGTTATGATTAAAGTGTCACAACGTTTGTCTTGCATCATTTGTGTTGTTGGTAAGATTGGATTAAAAAAAAAACTACAATTGTTTGGCATGATAATAGTGTAGATTAAGCCCCGTATGTAAGCTATTAACTAGCTTATCAACTATCAGCTAGTTTTACTAAACATAACTTAAGTCAAAAAGTTATCAGGCTGGATCTAGCTGGAGACTACCCGTCAACGAGAGCCTAGAGAGACTACTAACACAACTACAATAATAAACAAACTAAGCTCCCAAGAATAGAGAATCTACATGTAGGTATGGCTGGTCGTATCTTGACCAGAAAGGATGTACACTTGGTCTTAGAACAGACAACATTCTACCTCGGTGGACATCGAGTTGGTCGCATCATTAGGCAGTCTAATAGAAAAGACTAAGGGATAAGAAGGAATCTTAAGGCATTAAGAGTCGGATGTTGATATGGCCACGTGGCCTAACATTATTGGGCACTTCGGGCAGCTCGAGCAGTTCGGGCAGTCCATATGGGCTGTCTTGAGCAACAAGGTTTCACCTTCCTATATAAAGGAGTGAGGTATGTCTATTATTATATTACATTATCTATTATTCCATACACTATTTTCTACGATTTATCTTCTATAAGTGCTTATTTAAACATCAGAGGCTCTTGACTGAAAAATCCATCCGATAAGAGTTTTAGGGAAAAAAAGATTTAGCAACCGTCGTGAATAGGACTCACCAGAGATGATTTCTTCGAATTGTTTGCAATCGTGGAGCGCGTCATGAACTGCCATCCACAAAATTAAAGATCTTCTGCGCATGAGGAACCACTTTTGGCTCGCCGAAGTTCCATGGAATAGAGATCGTTAAAAAAAAAAGAAAAAGAAAAATGAATGAGTTAGAAATGTTTCACAACAAGCCTTCAGGTTACTTTCTAGCTTGTTTAGTTGTACCTGTTGTTTCTTTTTTCTATCTATAAATTATATCTTTTTCAATATATATATATATATATATATATATATATAAATTACACATTCAGTAGTGCTAAAACCAAATAAGAATTAAAAATCAAAACTTAATGACGAAATAAACTCTCAAGTATATTTTAAACTATATAATTTCCAGAACTGTACAACCAAACAACCCCATAAGTAGAGCTGTAAACAAATCGAACGTTCGCGAACAAAAGCTCGTTCAAGCTTGTTCGTTTGTTAATCGAGTCGAGTTCGAACAAAAAATTAGGCTCGTTTAGTAATCCAACGAACACGAGCTTGTTCGCAAACGTTCGCGAACATTAATTAATATAATTTCATTTTATTTTTTATATATTTACATAATTTTTTTATAAAAAATCTAAAATATAAAAATATTTTTATTTTATTTTTTTATTTTCGAGTTTAAATGAACAAATTTCGAGTTAATCAAACATATTTAAAAAATTTGTGTATTAAATTATTCAAACACGAACGAACTCGAACTTTGACGAATAATTAAACGAACGAGCTGGAATATATTTTTTTGCTCGAAAAATAAACAAACAAACACAAAGACTGTTCCAAACGTAAGCGAACATGAGCTCGAACAGCTCAAGCTTATTTCGGTTTACAACAATACCTCTCTCTCTCTCTCTCTCTCTATATATATATATATATATATATATATATATATATTAATACGCGTTATTGGTCCTTTGATGAAGGTCGCCGGCGTTTTGGTATTCTCGGCGATTCCTTTCACGGCCGTGAAAACCATCGCCAACAGTCCACTCGGACAGTCGCTCCAGAGGCGAATGGAGGAGAAGAAGCAGCTATATCAGGAAAATTGGTCGAAATTGAAGGTGCTTTCCGACAAGGCACGAGCTGAGAGGTAATCGTGTGCTTGTTCATCACTGCTCCATGTTTGATTTCTGTTTTTCCATCTCAATTCTAGACGAATGTTTAAATTTGTATTGAGTACAGAGGTGTGGATTAAGCCAAAGGGGAGATTGTTTAGTTGCATATATGTTCTTTTGTGTGAATGAATTTTGTTTATTTTGTGTTGCTAAATTATTTAGGCCTAGAAGTAAGGGTGGTTGTTGCTGGTATTGATTTCCTCCCTCCCTGAAATTATACCGTCAACTAATGTTTCATTCTGCATTTGAAGCATGATCACTTCAGTTTACTTCTAGACAGAATTAGAGCACACATTGATTCTTGCAGATCCAGATCTTATAATGTCTTTTGTGCCTTTTGTAATATTTAATAGTAAACGTAAAAGGAACTGGATGTTGTAACTTTCACCAATAAGGCACAAAGAGTGTCTCCAACGTTAAAAATAGACTTAATTTTTTAATGATGCAGAGAAACCAAAGCAAAAACAGATAAATGAACATTTTGAAGTTGGGTCTAAAATGAGGAGTAAGCAAACATATATGAAAAGTTATATTAAAATAATGATTTTTATGATGTCTCGTTGGGTCTATTGCCATGTCTCAAAATAGACCCAAGTGGAGAACTGGTTTGTTTTGTCACATGACACATAAACTATACTAGTCTCATTTTGTTTGCATTGGAGAGGATTACAGAAAAAAGTCTAAAATCCTATGTGGCACTAGGCATTCTCCCAAATAGACCCAAGCATTGAAGATACTCTAAGGAAAATAGGAACAAAAGAAGGACCACCGATTTGGTTTGAGGGCTGACCAGATATAGTATACATGTATTATGGCTGAACCAAATATGTAAAAGAGGACTACTATAGTTCTAGAGAAGAATGGAAACTTTTCTTGATTTTCCTATCCATCCAGACAGGATGTACCTGTTATTGTTATGAGCGTGTGTAATTATTAAAAAATAAAAAAAAAACTATGACATTGTTATCTGTACTTATGATGCTACGGATAACTGAAGTAAAAATGCTAGAGTATGCGAGAATGGTTATATGTAATATCTGCAGTCATTGCATGATTTTAACCAGTGTTCTTTTAGGCAACAATAATATAATATTTTGCTATGAATTAGCAAGATTTTCTCTTCATGTGCTTCTCCGGCAACTTACTAGTCTCTTCAATATGTCCATTTAGCTTTTCTCACCACCAGGTTTTACAAACATATTTATTATTTTGTGAAAGAATCAAATTCTCTGCTTTTCCAGCATGTGGTATGGGGAGGATCGCCCTCGCTGGCTTGGTCCGATCTCATATGACTATCCTGGCTATCTCACTGGTGAACTGCCTGGGGATTATGGTTTTGATATTGCGGGTTTGAGTCAGGACCCTGTGGCCTTGCAGAAATTCTTTAAGTGAGTACACATCCTAGCTTTATTAGCTCTTTTTTTCCTCCAGTAACTTGATGTGAAACAGTGACTTTAGCAAAATGATAAAGAAAAATCTAAACTTTCACTTGGAAGTATTTCTGACCATTTATTGCCACCATTTGATGAACAAGCAACCAACCTGTTAAGTTTAGCACTGAACATGTTGTTTGTGAGTAAGTCATGAATGTAAATTTGTTTTTGGCAACTAACTTGACTTATGAACTGTCTATTAAGAGTATCTATTTATTCGACCATACGGAACTCAGATAAAAAATATTTGACATAATGGACAAGCCTCAAGGTAGGTCTCTGTAGTTTGAAGAAACCACCACTGAGGTTTGTAATATTTAAGAAAGCGGAAAATACTTATTTCTGTTAGTCATTTGTGACTAAGGGACTTAGCGTCATGAGAGGTGAAATTACTTTAGACCTAGGCACAATCTATTTTTTACTAATCAAACCTCGGGGAATAATGACCTCTTACAGATAATGTCTTCACATGAAATCTCATTATGCAAGGTGCATAGGACAGTGTCATCGTGCGGAAACTATATGCTTTTTCCTTCATAGAATTAAATGAATACTTGAATGTCTTCTTTTGTTGTTATGGCAAAAGATTATCCCTTTAATATTCTTTGACCTTAGAAGCTCAAGTATATCAGCTCACTCGTATGAGGGTTCAAATCATGGCTCACTCCTAGAAACATTATAGTTTCTTTAATCTTCAACTTCTGCTGCTAATTTAGAAAATGAAAATGGGCAAGTATTTATCCACTACAGTCATCTTGCTTCATTCTTAACCTTTTATCTTTGTCAGAAGATAAACTCAAATTGTTAAGTGTGGATTAACTAGTGGTCCATGAAGTACTTGAGTTGAACTGTATGGCTGCCTTAACTTAGATTCCATGCTCTAATGTCTTTTAAAGAAGGTTTTCAGTAGAACCATACTAACTACCCAAATTTCAAGTAGTAGTATAACCTATGGGATTTGTTATGGTATTAGCTGAAGTAAACAAATCTCCTTGTTTAGAATGAGCTCACAACCTCATCATCAAGATGATAACATCACTTATCATAAAACTATATTATTGTGCAGTTTTGAAATACTTCATGCTAGGTGGGCTATGCTTGCTGCACTTGGTGCTTTAATCCCTGAAATATTAGACCTAATAGGAGCATTCCATTTTGTGGAACCTGTTTGGTGGCGAGTAGGCTACTCAAAGCTTAAGGTTAGTCAGATATGTTTATTTTTATCATTGCATAAAACCTTAGAATACTTTCTCTAGGTTTCTTCTGCCTTCGCAATTTTTCCGCCTCTGTCCATTATATTGATAAGTCTTGCAATTCCGGACACAGCAAGACAGCATGACACAAAAAACAAGAAGAAAATAACAGGTTAGTGATTAACCTTATAGAGTTCATGCCGTTATCGTTTCGGGACACGAAGATTTCAGGTCATGCTCGTGTGAACCCAATACAATTACTTATATTAATGTAGTTTTCCATCTACTATTTTGTTGCATTGTGTAATATCTTGCATTAGAAATTTGGGGTCAAGCTACAATTTGGTGTCAGATTTTGGTTTACAACTAGTAAAATACTGTCTTGAATTATAACTTGCCATAATTGTATCGAAGATAGCTTTGAGATTTGTTTCAGAGCTTGTTCCATATTAAAAAATTATTGAAATCAGACTAGGGTGTGAAATATTCAGTTTTATGACAAGTTTGATGCTTCTGCATTAGTGTTGTCATCACCATTCAAATTCATATTGTGTACACATGCAAGGTGAATGAGGTAAGGCCAAGGAGGGAATGTAACCTGATTTGTATTGAATGTTTTTTGTAAAGTAGAAACAATTTTTGGAAGAAGAATGTGGTCTATGCACTATTTTATGGAAGAAGAATCTATGAACTATTACAGAATGTAATATAAGGTTTCATATGTTTATTTACTCTGCTTAAAGCTTGCATGGTTTCTTCTTGACATCGATTTCATCTTTTCTACGTACTACTTAGTTACTAACGCTAAACAAATCTTCTATGAATGGGGCCATCTCTTCTTTTCTGCTTAGTGTAATGACTTGTCTGTCATTGCTTGACCTATGGAATTTAAGGTCCAGCACATCACTTCAAAAGTTTTGTCTGGTACTCTTTATTACATTCTCTCGTTGCCCTTTATGTGATTCTGGATTAGTTATTTGTGGCCTATGGTATCCGAGGTTTGATTGGGTGGTTGTCCATGACTTATTGGTTTATTCTTCTCGTGTCTGTTTATCGAGCAGTTGCCTGTGGTACCAATCAAGATAAATTGGCCAAATCCATTGAATAGTTTATTTGTGATGTGGCTCTGGTTTACCTTGCCATATAATTTTCCTTTTTATGCCTTACAGTTGTCTTGCACTTCTTTGTTAGAGTAGCTTCCATAGACAGCTTGAATGATTTTTTATAATATCGTTATTTCACTACTAATAAGTTTCAAAAAAGTAAGATTAATATCATTTAATGGCTTCAAGAAAATTAATAAAATGTGCCGTTAGAAATGTAAACCATAGTGTACTTTAAATACTTAATAAGTTTAACATTCTGTCGCTATTAGAAAATACCTAATTTGATCTCATCAATGAGATTCATTCATCGGCATTTGTTTCCTTCTCCTATTTATTATTTTCACCAGGGTGATACCTTAGACTATCTCGGCATTCCGGGTTTCCATTTGGCTGGAAGTCAAGGAGTGGCTATTATAGCAATCTGTCAAGCCCTTCTGATGGTAATTGTACTTTTCGCTTGTAATCTGAATGTTGATCATTTTGATGCCTTAGGGGGCACTTGTTTATCAAATAATTTGTTCAAAATGAGTTATTATGGTTAACCATAGTTAATTTTGGAAAATGTGGTATGGTTAGTAGTTAGTGGAATTTTAAGAATTTATTAAAATAATATTTAAAATAAAATGATTAAAAGTGATTTGATGTAAAAGTATGAGATAATGATTCGAAATGATAGGTAATTAAAATTATGTGAGTAGATGAACAGTGAATTAAAGTTGATGTGATGTGTAAGAATGATTGGTTTGCCTTATTTAATTATATGAATAATATTAAAGATAGTGAGGTTGAATTAAAGTTGACAGATTTTGATTATGAAATAAATGTGAGTAAAGTAACTTGTAAACAATCAAGCCCTTAACTGTTACAAGTAGCACCCTGCAGCAATTCTATTTATCTTCCCTATGACATTTTCTCTAACCAATCCATTTTTTTAATTTTCAATTGCATGACTGGATTAGCCACAGTTAGGATACCTATGCATCTAAAAACTGCAAGATGAAACTCCTATTAAAGAACGTAATGTTGTTTCGCATTCAGTTATAGTTTCATACTTGAGTAGTTTCATACTTAGTTAGCAATATGCATAGAATTAGTAACCTAAGCACAATGAAAAAATTGAAGTTTAATACCAATTTATCGTCGTCAAGGTCGGGCTGAAATTAGTATCTACTTGAAGCGAGAAAATAGCTTCACCATATAGAAAGCCCATGATGTAGTTGAGAAAACCTTACGAGAAAACACGAAATTCAATTCTTGATGATGATTTGACATAAATAATTTGACTGCTGCAAGTGAGTAAATGACTAAATTCAGCAATGAGAAAATGTCTATTCCAATCTACTTTTGCTGCATAGAGTATGCAATGGAAAAAAAAATATTTGCGGAACTTCAATAGTCATTATGATCATCCGGCACAAAACATAGTAAATATTTTTATGCCCCTCCAACATAGTGCTCACTGTTCCTACCATACAGAAGCCAGATACTTCTAATTTTCAGAGTATGCCAATTGATTTTCTGGACAATTTCCCCTCAAAGTATGCCTTACGATTTTCCTGAATCACATGGATGGCCGGGGGTTAAAAAGAGAAAATTAGAAGGCTTTGTGATGATGTGAATCTCATTAAGGCAATGCAATAGCCAAGATTACAGTCCCTTCCCCTGTTAATTATCAGCTCCTTATTTTCCTTTTCAAAACATTTTAATCGCTATTTTTAGTCGTCATCTTGCATCTCTCATTTCCTGGAATTTGGAAGATTATAGTTTCCTTACAAAGTTACAATTGTATTTACCCACCCACCAAACCTTTTCTGTTTGACCTTTACTTTCTGTACGCAGGTTGGTCCAGAATATGCACGATATTGTGGTATTGAGGCACTTGAGCCTTTAGGTATATATTTGCCTGGCGACATTAATTATCCTGGAGGTGCACTTTTTGATCCCTTAAATCTCTCTAGAGATTCCACTGCTTTTGAGGAACTAAAGGTGAAGGAGATTAAGAATGGCCGTCTGGCTATGGTTGCCTGGCTAGGCTTTTATGTTCAAGCTGCTCTAACAGGTAAGGGTCCTCTACAGAACCTTCTCGAGCACATTGCAGATCCATTGCACAATAATCTGCTTTCAACTATAGAATCTTTTCATTTGTTCTGACCCTCAAATTCATTATTAGTTAATATGTAATGTAAATACATAATGTTCTCATCACATTGATCCTATGTAAGTCCCGTGGAATAGCGACAACAGAATGCGAATTTGTTCTCGTTTTTATCCAACTATAATACACAATGAGGATGTGTCATCATTTATTTTCAAAGCAATGTAATACGAGCTTTATTACGATGGTTCCTTCATCCGAGTCTTGCGTTGCTTGATCTTATGCAGTGAAAAGTAATCATATAAAAAAGTAAAGATGTTTCAGGCACTATTTTTTACTTGAGTAAAAACATGGAGTTTGATGTATTCAATTGATTGAACTATCAAAAGATTAGGGCTGTTGTAGTTGGATTGCATAGCTGCACTTGATGATTTTGAGCTCGAATTATAGGTACTGGAGCAGTGTTCGTCTATTGTTCTAGCATGAATTAATTGTTTTGATTGGATTGTTTAGTGAAGATTACGGTCTCTAATTTTTCTTTATGTTTATGTTACTCGCATTATATTCTGAGTCAAGCTATCCTATCAAAACAGATTATACCAAAAATTCATCTGCCAAGCAAATTATTCGGAGCCAATCTGACAAAGTAGATTATTTCTTATCCGAGATATCTCAATTCTCAAACAAATGATGAGAAACTGCACTGTACTTAAGCCATGACAAAGTATATTAACTCATATTTTCTTATCCGAGATATATCTCAGATAAGTGATGAGAAACTGCACTGTAGCCAAGCTATGAAAAAGTAGATCACCTCTTATATTCTTGTAACACCCCGCTTATCAGAGTAAATTTTTCGCAACTTTTACTTCGAAAATACTCATATCTCTTTCGAAATCTTTTGCGACTAGTTCGGGATGCTACTCAACCTTACATCTTAAAAATCCATTTATCTTTAAACTCTTGTCTAATAACTCTTTTAGACATAATTAAATAGATTTTCTTTAAACTTGCATTTAACCATATTCATACTTCTCTAAATGTTAAAAACTTCAAATCATAACTTCATTTAAAAATGCAAGTTCAATCATCATATTGCGTAGCGGATAAATAAATCAAAGTATACTTTTAGAACGTAGTTAATTATACAGACTGGTTTAAATGTCCGTATCAAAGCTTGTCTTCATCTGAATCCACGATCCACACCAACACTGCTCCACTCACACCTCCTCTTCAACCTGTTACCTGAAACTAAAACTCATGGGGGTGAGTAACGATAAAGATCATCATATAC